ATAGGCAATCGTTCGATGGACTGAATTGCACAAAACGCATGATCGCACCGGCTAGTCTGGTGCGCGACTGCTGTTCATTGCTCACTGTAACGGTCTTGTAACGCTGCACAGCAAAAACGCATAAAGATCAAAAAACACCCTATGTGAGCGTACATCTCAAATTATAAAACAGCAAACATACTATTATTGGCGACCTGGCTGCCCCAAGCTTAGCGCTAAAATCCATAACCGCACCAGCAAGCCTGGTGCGTAGTTACGTAGGTTGCGGAAAAATCTTAAGCATACGGAGCGGTGAGCACTTAATATAATCATTTGATCCATCCATTTGAAAAAAGTGCCAAAAATTTCAGAATCTTAGTCTACTTCGCTCCTGATTTCTGAAATCGGCTTCTGTTTGAATGCAACATTGTACAGCCATTGCTCAGTTCTGAAACAGGTTTTTGTCCCTTCATCCTGCACTGTTTGACGATTGACCATTGCGAGTTCTTTCGAAATTTCAGGTCCGCGGATTTGCTAGCCGCAGTTCCATCAACCACTCACTGTGTGAATACCTGCATGTATATGTTACATAACTACGGCGTAGTAAATACTAGGTGGGGTAGTTCAGTGAATGGCGTGACAAACAGGCCATTATTTTATTCTCGATTCATGCTTCTTCAATAACTAAAGTAATTAACAGCTAAAATTATTTACGGCACATTTTTAATAAGCATAGATGTGTTGAGTGAGTGTGTGTGTGTGTGTGTGTGTGTATGTGTGTGTGCTTTCGTCGTCTCGCATTAAAACATCATTATTCGACATATGTTAGATTCTAGAATAGCTAAGAAAAACTATTTGAGCTGTAGATATGCCTGTCTTCCCCAAGCTAATGGCAGCATTTTCGCGATACATGAAAGCTCTTTGGGATCATGAAATAAGTAATCAAATGGACTCATGTCCAGCACATCTGGGGCCCATAATGAATTTTGTTGGATACTGGAGCAATTTTCGTCACGGATTGAAAGCTCACTGGCTTAAAACAACCTATTCAAAACAGGCTGTGCATTTTGCTGATGCCGGCTGATTGCAGCCGCTACTTCTGAAGCTCTCAAAAACGTAATTTTTCCTTAAACAGGGTCCCATCAAAAAAGTTAATTCAGCAATGTCATGTCGGTGGGCACAGCACTACTTCTGCTTACGACAGATCGACGGCCCCATCTAGTCACTGGAAGAAACAGCCCCTGCACAATTCGTTCATTTGTTTCGATGGTAAATTGCTACTAGTACAAGGGAGCCACCAATTTGCTTCTAAACGGGGAAGCATTCACAACCTTGTCAGCGGTTGGTTGGAGTTGTCACTTGTTGCCACTTTGTTTACTTTTGTGCGCCTCAGTCCCTCATAAATGCTGAGTTTTGATACGGTTTTTGCTTTCGAGAACGTGACAGGAACGTGTGAATTGGTTGCTTGTTGCAGGTTGTAGCTCATTAATGCTGTTTGCTGGCATACTACTGGGCATTTGTTCAGCTGCTGTTATTGCTTTAAAGCGCTTTTCGTGTGGTTTTCCTGCCTGTGTGCTCCGGAGGGTTGCATCCTTTCACCCTTGGTGGCCGACTCCTCCGCTTCGACTCTAGTTGAATCAGCTTGTGCCTCTTTGTGTTAGTAAATATTCAGCTAGTGCTGCTAGCTCTGCTGTTGCTTCGGAACGGATCACCACCTTCTTGCTTTTGAATATATCCAGGAGTTACTTTGAAGATGGGCGAAGGAGGTGCGGGTGGAAGTTAGGGGTGGAGGGACAGTTGTAATGACAGCAATATTTTTTCATCTATTCCTGCAAGTTTACCTCAAGGAGCGTCAAATGGCAGTAGGTTCTTCGAGTGTTCTGCCCCTCCCACCTGCCTTAGTTTGGGTTCCCTCAACGCCCTTACTGTTACTTGGCTTCAGCACTTTTGCTCGCTCGCCGCTCGTGCCGAAGTGTACTGCAGAGTATTTTCGCATTTTCGCTTTTCACTGTTTTGCCCGGGAAGAAGGGCTGGCTAACGGCCTGAGTACCTTGCTAGGGGCTCGCTGTAGAACGAAATGAACTCTTCTCACTTTTCGGTCGTGCTTGTTTCTTTGGAAAATGACCAGCACTGGGCACGAAGTGCCGCAAATATAAATGCGAAATTTTTTGAAAATACTCCCATTCGAACGAAATACGGAGGGGCTTTTGACTTCTGACTTGACTGCCATTCGGAATCCTTAAAATGAAACGCTCTGTTCCAGGAGATCTGCCCTCTTCCTTCCATTACCGTGTTCGCTGGCAAAAAACATGTTTTTCGCGTAACTCTTCCGTGACATCACGGACAAAATGATAGGATTTATTTGCGCACCTTGAAAGTTACAAAGGAATTTTTCCCTGCATTGAGTTTCACTGTTTTTTCGAAATTTCGCAACAGTCTTCCAGCTCGTATGAGTAATCATCACATGGATAGCTGGGTAGGTGGTGCTGCTTTAAATATTGCGTGCTTTGCTCCGTTCCCGGGAACATTTGTGCAACGGTCCCTGGATTCGATTGCTCTAAACTCATTGCGTGGGCGGATTTCAAATTTCTACAGTCAGTGCCTGTATCTGTTTAAAAACCAACGATTTCGATCGTGTGGTTGTTTCAAAACTCTGTCGTAGCAGACTGGCCCGATGCCCTTTTTAGGAGATAAAAGGATATGTCTCGGTGCCCAGTCGTCCTCGCTGGATTCACTGTCTGTGAGGGAGGATGAAGCCTCTCTCAAATGAACAGCTCTGAGAATGCTGTGAATGTGTTCCAGCTAAATTACATTTGCGTGGAGCACTTCTGCTGAGAGGATAAATTTCCAATAGCCCATTCAATTTACTGGTGCAGCTGAATGAGTTTCGTGCGATCTCCTCCTCACGGAAAGCAACACATGACGAAATTTTGTTTTTTTCCGCTGGAGTTGGCTTTCTTTTAACATTTTACTATTTTCCAATAATTCCTCTTGTTTATCTAAACATTTGGGTACTGTGGAAACGCTTTTTTCCAATACGTTTTTCAAAAGCTGCCAGGGAGTGCCCAGCTGCCTCAAATTCTGGAGAAACGCTCTCTCTCCTCCTTTCTTTGACAAAATCCTAGCAGCGTGTTTTTATGTACTCTTTGATTTCCGCTTTCAATTACTTAACCGAAATACTAAAAAAAACCACAAATTTCAGGAATCCTCGAATAGTTCAGCCAAGGAGTAGAACAAATCGTAATCAAGTGCTCATACTGCAGCAAAACTGTTCACGTATAACGGTGAAGAGCAATAGAAGACTCCTAAACAAAGTATCCAGATCTTGGGACTCTGAAAAATTTTGCTGCGTTTTGATTACTTATGGCTCCCTCGAGGATTCATGAATGAATAATAGTTTGGTTCGGGTGTTCCAGGAATTTCACTCCTGAATGAGCCACCCGAACTATTCGATGTAAAGAATCAAACAAAACATTTTCCATTGTTTGGAAAAATGGGCAAGAAAAATAGTAAGCTCAAGCCGAAACAACTCAGTGATTTGGTAAAGCAAACCGAATTCACTGAAGCTGAAATCCAAGAATGGTACCGTGGTTTTCTCAACGACTGTCCGTCTGGGCATCTGACAGTGAAAGAATTTAAAGCAATTTATGCAAGTTTCTTCCCGTACGGTGATGCTACCAAATTTGCTGAGCATGTTTTCCGGACGTTCGATTCCAATAAAGATAACACAATTGATTTCCGCGAGTTTTTGTGCGCGCTCTCGGTAACTAGCCGCGGCAAGATTGAGCAGAAGCTGCGTTGGGCTTTCAACATGTACGATCTGGATGGTGACGGATATATCACAAGGGACGAAATGCTTGAAATAGTCAAGGTTAATTCTTTTCATTCCACTACCACTGGAATCATAAAGTCGTTTTAATTCGAATGAGGCATAAGGTGCATTGAAAAACAATCTCATTTCATGCGAAGCTAAATCAAGCATTTCCACTCCTGTTTACCTACTTCTCATTGTTATTTTCCGATCCTAATAATATGTACACACATAAATTTTTCAGTAGTCCGCTGTGCAATTCTCTCGTCATGGCTTTCATAAGTCTTGGAAAGGGTAAAGTTAAATTATGCCAGTAAGACAACATGTCGTATCATTAGATTTCGTTTTTCTGTCTGCTTGAATTTTTATGCGTTTTTGCATATATGCAAATTGCAAAAACGCATATTGGGAAGAGGCTGTGTATGTCTGTGTGTTCGCACTTTTTGTCACCTACTTTCAAACCGAGAATCAGAAAAGCTAGAAGGCTGGAACTTTGGGAATATGTGCCCACACCATGCGGCACCCTCCCGTTTTAATTTCATCCCCTCGGACGCCTGGGTACTGCGTATGCAGATTTTTTGGCGGGAAAACGATCTCGGGAACCACATGAGCTAAGGGGCTGAAACTTTGTAGGGATATTCTCTGTGCATGTACTA